TATTTTTCTCGCACTACTAATGCTTTTGGAATACAGGACATATGTATCCTTGTAGAACTTGATGCGGCAGTCTATCCACCTATAGCGAAAAATAAAATTTGTTATAATTTAGCATTGCGATTACTTTACTTAATCATCATAGAAGACACATTTTACGTATAAAACAATAAGAAGAAATTCAATTTTTGATAATATAGAAGCAAAAGAAAATAAAGTGAGTTATTCTTATAACACAATGATCTTAGAAATATTTTACAATAAACTCTTCAGTTAAATGACAAATAGATAATATTTTCTTTCGTTGTGCAATAACTACATATGTTGACACTTACTGTGTTCTGTTTTCTTTTTATAAAAATAGACTCGTATGAGTTAGCATATAGAAGAACGAATAAAAATGGAAATATAAAAATGTCGCAAAATGAGAAACGTCATGCACAAAACAAAACAACCATATTACTACATTTCGAACGATGTTTTAACATGGATTTATTAATTAATATATGTCTACCAACCTTCATCATAACATCAAGATATAATGGTACATAGGTTATTTAAAAAGTGCGGCTATAGACAAGACTAAAAGATATTTTGGTAAATCTGTTGAGATCAAACTATTCAAACCTTATACTATAGAAAATAAATGTCCTGTCCTCTATATTGAATGTGTTTGTCAACAGAAGACTTATACATTCAATTGTTTATGTATAAAAACGTAAATATGATTCAGTATTTGCCACGCATTCATGTATTCATGATGAGTCACATATTGTTAGTTTTATCTTTCTTTTTTGAAGAATTAGAAATGATAAAAATAGTTGATTTTTCTTGAAAAATAAAACTGCATAAAATATAAAGAGTATCATTTGAAATTTGCCTAAGTAAAAATTATTATGTGAATATTTAAATAGATAATTAGACACTAGCAAAAATTAATCTTCTAAACTCATTCAAACACATTACATAGAAAAATCCTATTGAATGTTTCATAAAAAATAAAATAACTTTCTGTCTCATTTAGTCAATTTGATAACCTGTTATTTATATTAATAAAGTTCTTAAATCTATCAATTGTAATCGTTTTTTGTGCAATTTTATATTCTTCTCATGCATAGTATTAGAATAGAATAAGCCAAAAAAAAGCTAGAATAAGAAGACACTTGTAAAATAAACTCGTAGCCAAAAAAAAAGCTAGAATAAGAAGACACCTATAAAATAAACTCGTAGCCAAAAGAAAACTGAAAACTAATAAAAAACTGCAGAGAGCAAGAAAAGAATAAATACAAGTGGAGGAAATAAGATACTTATTGGAGTTGTACCTTGAGCTGATGATCTTTACGTCGTTGTAGCTATATTACTTGTGTTAGTACTAATGTTATTATAGAAAATCATCAGTGTACGTGTTGTTGCATTCATACTTAATGCTAGATTACTAATCTGCAGTACATTTGATGTTGTATTCCACGTCATATTTATCATAGTTGAATTACTTCCCATCAGCATAATCTGTGATGGTTGTGCAGCCAGACCATAGACTTGGATTTGATTCAGTACCAATGATGTTGGATAATAGTAGGCTGCTGGTGTGATTGTAATTGTATTGTTACACGTATAATTGAATTTAAATAAATTGTAATTTTGTTTTCATATGTATCAACTGAGTCACCGTCATCCCAGAACAGACTTCCACGAGCTGTTTGGTTCTGATCTAATGCTATGATCAACGACATTAGATTTTGACGCGAGAGATTTGTATTCAGAGCATATTGTTGGGTTGGAAGTATTGAGCCGCCTCTGAAAGAAAGAACATAAAAAATAAGTTAGCGTAATTGATGCTGAATAGAGTGTGAAAAATCGCTCAGAAACTGAATTTTCCAAATCGATAATGTGTAGCCTAATGGATGGTGTCATTGGAATAATTAGAGTTATTACTTTTTTTTGTTTGAAATACTTATGCAGATAACAATAATCTGCTAAAGTTCATATTATTCTCTTTGGATAGTGTGAATTCTGGTAATAGTTAACCTACTTGATAAACAGTGGAATATAATCGAGTGGTGCATCAACCGTAACATTTTCCAGTTTTGTCTGTTCCTGTCCCGTATAGTAATCATACCATCGTACTGGAGATGGTGGTAAATACGAATTCTTCGTAATTTGATTTTTATAAATCACCGGTGCAATCAACAAAGATGAACCCCAAAGAAATTGTTCATCCAAATCCCAACAATTTGAATCTTGAGGATACTCATGTGCCATTGAACGAACAACTGTTCCACCGTCGACATGGACATTGTAGAACAAAGTGTACAGATACGGTATCAATGTATAACGTAAGATTACAGCTTTGCGATTACTGGCAACGACTGGAGGCGAGAAAACACCAGGATCTTGATCAGTTAAGTTAATGGCATTGTGATTACGAAAGAACGGTTTGAAGGCACCTTGATGAAGAAAAAAGAGTAAGTTAAAAATCAACTTAAATAAAGCAAATTGCTACAATGTACCTAACTGCATCCATCGTTGACATAACTCCTCTGTTGTATTCAGATTAAAACCGCAGATATCAGCACCAATATAGGGAATTCCAAATAAGTTGAATTCTAACAAGCCAATAATATTATACTTGACAAACGGCCAAAGCGCTGAATTATCGCCAGTCCAATGACCTGCGTACACACCTGAGGATGGAAATGTTGAACGACTTATGACGAATGAACGTCGCCCTGGAACCGAAGCACGTACTGCTGGCAGTGTAGCTATGGTTTCCGACCAGCCAAAGAGATTGTGGACATCGTAGTGACGATATGTCATATTACCATTCGTCTGTAGTGCCAACATACAGATGGTTTTATCTGACATCACAGAACTCCAGATTGCACTTTGAAGGAAAAAGAAAAGTAAAGCTTCAATATTTGACGTTTTGTTTTTATAAACATTCCCACTTACGGATGATATGATGGTGCATCCCATTGTTCATCAGTTGGGCGATGTAAGTTCCATGGAGTACTGTAGGGCCAATTCCACGGTTGAAGCATGTTTGTATCGAAGTTTGCGGGTTCATTCTTCAATTACAAAAGACAGAAGAAGAAGCAAATAAAATGAATAGGAAGTGAAAAAAAAATCACTCACCATATCGATCCAAAGTGCATCGAAGTTTCGTGTATTGTGCCATGTTACAATCTGATTTAGCCACCATGATTTTGTAGGAGGATAAAGGAAGTCAGGAAATACAACTTTACCTGAAAATATCAAATATCAAAACAAAAAAAGTTTCTTCAAGCTTTTGTGTCTTGACGTATAAGATTGAAATTACCTGGCGGCCATACATATCCTAACATATTCTGATTTGAAGTTTCATTAAACTGCAGATTTTCATTTACTGGCCATTTAATCCAAATATTCTATTGTTCTCCAAGGATGAAAGCACTATAGTTGGGATGCTGAGAATCTATACATGGATCTAAGATTGTAATGAATTTCATTCCGATATCATGCAAGTGATCAATAAATTGAGGAAGTCCAGTATAATGTACCGGATCGGTCGTGAAATCTGTTTGATTGTCAAAAGTATCGATATCGCCCCATTGTACATCCTGTGGAATTCCGTTTGAAATTGTCCGATTCCATGCAGCTATCATATTAGCCAAGGAATTATAACCCCAACGACAGAGCTATAGAGAGGCAAACAAAGAAATCTTTCTAACATGCACAAAAAGAGATAGAAAAGTAACCTGAAATCCCAAACCCCAATACGGCGGCATGTAAGGTTTTCCAATAACCATCTGATACTGCTGTATTACTTCTTCCGGTGTTGGTCCAGCAAAAAAGAAGAGATCCAGGATACCACCATTGTACGATAGGTTAATAGACCCTGTGTAGTATTAAACTGTGAAAACTTGTAATCTTGTGCATTTGAGTTGAATATTAAAACACCGAAGGCATTACCATCGTCTTCAATACACATATAAAATGGATGTGTACCGTAAAGATTTTCATTTTGACCCTTTAAAACAAAGGTTTTTTTTCACCTGCTAATACTGTGAGCAGATAGATATTTTCATTTACCTGTAGTGGTTGATCACGTGCAAAAATTCCGTAACGAATACCATCGGTCAAATTATGGCGAAATGATGGATGCGTATTCTCACCAAAACCTGAAACGGAAGAATAGGTGAACAAAGTCAGTTATCGTATTTTTACTCACCATAAACATTCTTCGATGGCAATGTTGTAATTATCTGTAGAAATTGATTATCACAGATGAATCCTTCGGCAAAATAAGTTGTATCAAATAAAATTGGATCATTGTCACCGATAGTAGTACCCATCTGTCGTCTCACACGTAAACCAGTTTGGTTGTACTGAGTTTCAGTTAGTTCAAAACGAAGATTTTGCTGTTGTGATTGACTAGTTGTAGCCCTCCATGTTATTGGAACAGGTACTTCATAACGGTAGTTGTTCGTATTAGCATCTTAAGTCAAAGAAAACTCGAATATTATCATATGTCCTAGCACATTTGTAGGAACTTTCTTTTTTTTTACCCGTTATCTTCATTCTTATCATGTTGAGACCACTCACTGTTACCATAACATTCAATTGTTAAATATCATTGTTGAATAATGAAAATCCATCACTTTTAACAGTTGTATTCGTGCCATTTTTGTTTGTATTTGGATCTATGGACAGACGATTGAGTGTGTATGACATGCCCATACTGTTTGCAAGTGAAATTTGATTGTAAAAATAGTAACCACCTTTTGATTTTGGTACGTAACAGGCAACAATTCCGGATGTAGAAGGGTGTGGGGTGTGGGTGTGGGTGGGTGTGGGTGGGGGTGGGTGTGGATGTGGGTGTGGGTGGGTGTGGGTGTGGGTGTGGGTGTGGGTGTGGGTGTAGGTGTGGGTGTAGGTGTGGGTGTGGGTGTGGATGTGGGTGAGGAGGAAGAGAAGACAACACCCTCACCCACACCCACACCCACCCACACCCACACCCACCCACGCCCACACCCACACCCACACCCACTCACACCCACACCCTAATGAGAGAAATATTTTTTTATCAAAATGTGAATAGATCAATCTTCGCTAAGAAAATCCAAAGGAAAATCATCAGATTTTTTCCTATAACTAAACAATATATTGAAGAATCATTCTCATCTTCGATTCTGTTATGATGATTATAGAAGTTAAGCAATGATTGAATAGGACAGAAATAACGAGACTATTCTTTTTACTATATCTATATAGAAACAAAACTCTTTCCGAAATTTTTAATATATAGTAGAATTTTCGATTAAATTGAAGTGAAAAAAACTAAATAGTTGAATATAACCTCCTCAGACAACCTCTATCTATATTATAGAAACTCGGACTGAAGAAAAACGCGACTGGAGAATATCTAGAAGTTCATCTTTTATTTAAAGTTAAACTTAATAAAAACAAATAGTTAAATATCAATTATAAAATAACTACATCAACAACACATAATCTTATCTATCATATTTAGTTAAACTAAATGAAAAAACTATAGATCAATATGATTTACTAGAAAAACAAATCGACAAGATCGAATTAATCTATTATATTATGTTGAATTTGAGAAAAACAAATTGGTTAATTAATAGAATTTCTCACAGAAACCGAATCTATAAACATAACCTCATCTATTATATAAACAATCAACTGAACATACAAGAAAAATGATGAATATAATTCGTTAAATAAATATTTTGAAAAAGGCAACGCTCATCTTTTATATCTATATCACTAAAAGATAAATATTTAATCATATGGAATTTTTTCAAATAAACAGATCGATTATCAGAAAGTTATTTTTATTATACAATTAAACTAAGGAAAAACAAAACGATTGAATATTATTTGTCAAATAGCAACATTTTATAGACATTTATTTACACATTATCAAACGTTTAACTAAAGAATAAGATAAGTATGATAAGAGAATCTTTCAGATATCTAGATCGATTAACGTTTATTATTCTCTTATATAAATGATCAACAAAATAAAAACAAATAGATAAATTCAATTTTCGATCTTATCAACTCCACAATCCATAACTTAAACTTTTATCGAAATATTACCTAATTGATGAGTATTCATTTCGTTTACTATATTTACTTTAATTAAACCAAACATAATAGCAGAGTAGAATTATTTCAATAATATATAAACATAGTTGAAATTAAGATAAATAAATAGGTCATCTTTTATTTCTTAAATAAGAATATCAATAACTATAAATTTATCTGTTATAGAAACGTTGAACTTACATTAACAATACACTTTTTTATCTTTAATATAAACATTCAACGAAACGAATAAGTGAAGATTTTTTTTTAAATAGGATTATGCATTAAATAAAGTTCATATCTTATATATAAATGATCAAAACAAAAAAAATTAATTGAATTTTATCTTTTTCAAATAGGAAGATCATTAATGGGCAACATTCATCTTTATTATATTGTTTAAATATAAAGGAAAAAAAAACATCCTTAAATATTATTTTTCGAATAATTATATTTATAGAAATAAATTATCTACTATATATATTGTTTAAATAACCAATTTTAAATAACTAAATCGATAATTATCATTTTATCTATTATATTATGTTTAACTAAGGAGAAACAAATAGATAAATATCTATTCGTTTAATAACTTCATCGATGTTGGTTATATATTATATTAAATAATAATAATATCAATTAAACAAATATATATAGATGAATATTAGTTTTTCACATAAACAGATTGACTAAGATAAAATTTAACTAAATAGATATAAATAGATAAATATTATTTCGAAAATAAATTATTCAAGAATGATTAACTAAACAAAAATAAATATAATTATTATTTAATTATTAAATTGATCAATTAGTTTAAGATTATCTATTATCGAATATTAAACTAAACAGAATAAAATTGTTTTATGTTATTTATTATTAAAAAGCAATATTGATAACGCCGAAATTTTATATTATATAAAGATTAAACAAACAATAATAAATACGGTAAATTTTATTTCCAATAAAACTGTATCGATAAATCAATATTGATCTATTATATAAACAATAGACAGAAATAGATAATCATCATTTCGAAAATAAGAATATCAAAAATGGATAAGATTTATCTATAATATAAAAGATTAATCGAACGAAAAACAATTTGTTTAATAGAGTTTACAAAATGAGACAATTTCTAATAGGAAGTGCATCTATAATATAAACATTAAATGAACGACAAAAAAGAAAAAAAAAGTTGTATATAATTTGTGAGAAAAGAAAAGAAAAGAAATAATAAAATATTCATATCTCTTAAACAACGAGATAAAAAACGAAAGAAAAAACTCTAATCTTGAATTTTTATTTTATTCTTCACCTATTTAAATATCATTGGAAAATAGAGACATCGATTCAGACTGACATTCAACTACTCGTCTAATTTTATTTTATTTTTTAGTTAAACAGTTTGAAAATTTTTTTTTAAATTAATTTATTTCGTCGAAAACATGATATAAGATTTTAAAAAAAATATATTATTTATCCAATTGATTTTTTTTATTAGAAGATTAAAGATTAACCAATCAGTTTACCATGAAGACAAGTTAACATTTCAAATGAGAATTTCTTATTTCAATAAACTAAGAGACATCGTGTTTTTGCTGTGTCTCTCTTTTCATATTGCCTATATTCAAACTGATTAGTATCTTAAACATTTGTATTATTCAGTTTATGAAATAGTTTTATTCCTTGATTTGGCTTTAATCATATCTATAAAGTAATTTCGAAAAAAAAACGAATGAAATAATAACTATTATTTGGTTGAATCAGCCTAATACATGAGAAAAATAAAAGTGATCCCTCGAATAAATTATTTTTAAAGTACTTAATAACTAACTTTATTGATATTTAAACGAAAATATTTCGATGAACAATAAATAGAATTTGAGAGAATTCTATAATAATTGATAAATGTTATGAAGATAATCAATAGATTCGTTATTTATGACTTCTACCAATAAATTATCTAATAGATTTTTCACTCTTTATTATGCTATTTAATATATATTTTTAGATAAAGAATTGTGCAGAAATTTTAGATAAATCAATAAGGAAAATAATATTTTAGGTTCGGTTTCATTCTCAATTTTGTCTCAAAAATCTCCTTATATAAGATAAAGTTTTAATTATGAATAATTGATTGGAGAGATTCTTTCGAAATTGTTTGTCTATCCTAATAAATCTTTTGTTAGGACTCTTTAAAGTATTAATCATACTTAAATTGAAATATTGATGAGGAAAAACAATTTTCATTGTTATTAAATATTTTATAACGGTAGAATATAAATTTATTGTTCATCTTATTACTAAACAATTCTTTCTATAAAGTATCTAAGAGAATCTTCCTTTTTCTTCAACATTATTTTTATGTCAAATTTTGTCTAACAGGTTCAGTGATGAAAGAAACTACTCGATACTGAAAAAATATTCTTTCAAATATATGAATTTATCAATATTGATCTTTTATTGACAATGAATAAAAAAAGGATTAAAATTAAATAATTATATATTCAATATAATTTCTCAATAGAGTTGATCACCGTGCATTATTCGAACCATGCTCAAAACATTCTTGCTCCTTTTAGTCGAATTATTTAAAAGATGGAATCTATTTTCAAATAAAATCCTATGATGAACTTTTCCATTTGTTCAATAAGAGAATTTAGGTAATAATATAAAAACGTTTATTGATCAAGTCTTATTGTTCCAAAACTTGGTTGTCTACATATTAAAAATTTGATCGAATGTTTCACCATAAAAGCATATTCTCTCTCAGATTATCTAATAAATAGAATTTCCACTTTCAACTTACTCTGAACAAAGTTCTTAACAAGATTAGTTAATATAGAAAGTTTCGAATGTTGTCCAAAGAATCAATCTCTCATTGATGGTATATTTCAATTCTAAAGTCGATTTTTTAATATTAGCTATGTAGGAGTAGAGATTTCTATTGGAAAAGAACGAAAGTTCAAAAATGCAAGACTATTCTAAACGTTTTCTTTTACTGATCAAATAAAGATTGTCTCACTAGAAAAACATGTTGCTGCTTCAAATTGAATTATTCTTCGATATGTTTTTTGTGTACTCAAAAAGTGAGTACACTACTAAAATCGGTCAGTGTGTCCGGCCGGCCGTCCGTCCGTCCGTCCGTTTATTCGATAACTTTCGAAAGGAGAGTCCGATCGCGATGAAATTTTCTACACAGTTCAGTCTTAACAATATCTCGGTCGAGTTCGAAGATGAAAAGGATTGGCCGAACCCTTCCTGAGTTATTGCAAAAATACTCATTTTTCCCTGCACCTTCCCTATGGAAAGATCGACCCATCCCCACTTTCGTAAAAGACTTTTCCTATCATAGTCAACTAAAACCCCAACTATTATATACCATTCGATAGAGAATTTCACGAGCTACAAAATGGTATATAAAACATAAAGAAACAAGAAGGTTGGCTCATCTATCACAAAGATAATTA